AAAATTACAGGACCACTTCCCTTCACCCAACATGCAAAACAACCTAAATGGTCTAGGTTTTGTAGTAAACAACCCCATTAAACTCATTGTATGAGGCTCGACATCAGATTTGGAGTTTTTATGATTTTCTCCTTGAAAAATCCACAAAAAATCATTGAAGCTTCAAACAACAACCAGAGTCATACAAAAAACTTCTAAAATCAAGGTGAATCAAACCATGCAAGATTCATTGACTGTTGTTGTCACCTATATGGGCTGCTGTTGTCATCCAACGACGGTCTAACGTTAGTAGGTCATCTCCTAGGAGGATCAATGTTAGAAGGGTTCCCAAGAGCCTTTACCTTGCTTTAATACCCAGTTGTTGTTTTTGTTGTTGTAGAAGAAGAAGAAGAAGAAGAAGAAGAAGAAGGGTCTAACATTAGTAAGTCATCTCATAGGAGAGGATCAGTGGAAAAAGGGTTCCCAAGAGCCTTTACCTTGCTTTGATACCCAGTTGTTGTTGTTGTTAAAGAAGAAGAAGAAGAGAAGGATGTATCAAAGAAAGGAATGTGTGTTATTGTTCACACCCTCAAAAATGCCTTTTATACTTTGAAGAAAAATTACAAGAAAGCCCATACTTGGGCACCCTAATAAAAAAGATGATGAAAGGTCTAAAACACCCTTGCCCAAGTTTCTTAACAAGTTGTAATGGGTGCAAACATGAATCCCAAGATTGAAATATATCTTTTTAAGTTTTAACATTTGAGTGCAAAGTTTGCATCCATTTGAAATATAGGCTCAGTTTGGAAGGAGTACAAATACAAATTTGTAGAGCACAAAACCTTGCATTTTATATTATTTTATATGTATTTGTACTGTACATATTTGTATTTGTACTTTTTCCAAACTGAGCTATACGTTTTTAAGTTTTTGGATGCAAACTCTGCTCTCATTTTGGATGCAAACACGCCTTGAAATTTGTGAAAACTGTCATTTTCATTATATTAAATGCTTTCTTAACAAACACTGACAAATTTGAACCAAAGTTCATATATGCACTGAATTGACATTTGCACTTGGAGCCTAATGATGCAAATTCATACATACATATATACATACATACATACGTACATATATATATATATATTACAATAAAAATAATAACTTCATAAATATGTCTAATATTTTAAAATTTCTTATATAATATGTTATATTTTCATCTAATTTTAAAATTTTATTTTTTGATTATTGATATTATGAGATGTCCCATTTCACATAATACAAAAAGCATATTTATTTTTGAGTAAAATTTAAAAATTTTACTCCAATTTCTTTATGAATAAAAATATTCTTTTTAATATAATGTGATGAATGTAAAATATCAAGGATGTCTCTTAATTTTCTATAATTTTTCTGTTTTTATAGCTTTTAGTAATTGTATCTATTTTAAAATTTTTATTATTTAATTATATGACATCATGTGTTAACCTAGACAATTGAATTTTTGAACCATATCTTGAATAGGAAACATTTTCCTCTTCAAGACAACTTTATTTTTTGTATTCCATTTTCACCATCAATAAAAATAGTTCTTATTTACCACACTTGTATTTTGTAATATTCGATATTGCCAAATTTTCTACTCTTTTTTGTATTTCTATATTTTTAAATTTTGTTATTCAATTATAACATCATGGGTTGACCCATTTGACTTGGACATTTACCCATTTGGTTTTAGATTTTATATTTCATTACATCATTATTAAAAGTAATTCTTATTTATCACACTTGTCCTTTTAATATGAATTAATATACAATAATGTTACAGATGTGTGTAAATTTTTCTATTTTATGCATTTTTTCTAGTTTTTTTTTGTTTTTTATAATTTTAGAAAAAAATATTACTTTACTATGACATCATGGATTGATCCATTGATCCACCACTCAAGGGGGAACAAATCTCATTTATGAATCAATTTTAAATATTGCATTCTATTTCAATCATTAATAGAAATACTTCTTATTTATTATTCCTATTTTTGTTTAATTTAACAAATATATAATATGCACCTAAAATTTACATTTTTATCTATTTTAAATTTTAGTATTTAATTATGGTATCGTGGGTTCACTTGTTTGACCCAAACGATGTAACTACTAATTTTCCACGTAGAAAAATCGGTTTCATTTTTAGTTGATTTTAAAATATAAATTGTTATTATTAATACTAGTTAGAACCCGTGCGATGCAGGTGATAAATTATTGAAATATAAGGATTCCTATGATATTCTCAATTGAGCCAAGTCGGTCTAAGCCTAACCCAAGTATTGCTTTTTAGGTTATGTTTAGCTTATCTGATTGTAACCCAATTTGCACCCCAATGCCCAATGAGAGTGGTCAAATTAGTATGCTCTACTTTTCACAGAATAATCTTAAAACTTTATTAACGTAATAATTTTCAAATGTAAATTCAATAAAACATTAAATTATTAAAAATTTATTATCAAATTAATAATTTTTCTTATTTTACTAATGTTTTATTAATTTTTATTATTTTAAAATGATTATAAATTCTAGTAAAACTAAATTTATTAATATTTTTCTTAATTAAAAAAACAATATTTTATTAGTTTCAACAATTTTATTAGTAATATTAATTTTATATAAATTTTAATAAATTTATTAAACAATTAATAGTTTATATTAACTTTTATTAGTTTTTATTACATGGGTTTTAAAATTAATATTTAAGTGAAATTTAGAATTTATTAATTTTTATTATTATAAACGAAATTTAAATGTAATTTAAAAATTAACTACTTAATTACTTATAAATAAGTTTGTAGTAGTTTTTGTTATATTTTTTTATTACTTTTTAAATGAAATTCCATTGGATTATAAAATTACTTAACAATTAATGAATTATTTTTATTAATGTTATATAAATTTGTAATAAATTTTTATTGATTTTATTTTCATTAATTATTAATTTATAATTTCATTTTTATTTGTTATTATTAGATTAATTTGTCTTATTTATAATAATTTTGGATTATTTTATTGTTTTTATCTTTTATTTTTTTAATTACTTATAAATAATTTTGGATTATTTTATTTGTTATTATTACTTTTTAAATGAAGTTCTTGGATTTCTACATCCCTGTTGTCCGGAACTACGACAGGCGTAGCTTTTTCCCTTTTAGGAACCGTTGGGTGATCTTTGATCGAATTGGAGTCGACAACGGAGATTGGCTACTGGGTCCACTTGTCGAGCCTTTCTTTTGCTGGAACCCGAGCAAACTGATGAGTTTTGTTGCGGTTATCGCGTTTGTGGGACTGGGCCGAGGAGTTCGATCTTCTTGAAACTTCTTGCTTTTCTCGCTCAGGCCGCACCCTGTCCTTGTCTGACCGGTGTGTTTTGGGGTCCTTAGAGCGAGGATCACCCATAGTATGCGTTGGGGCAAGAGGGGGGACGGTTTGAGTGGGCGGCACCGTAGACCCCAACGATTGCATCATCGTTAAGATCTTGTTGACCTTTTCTTGCATTGCTTGGAACTGAACATGGTCGACTGCGGCTTGCTGCTGAGATTGTTGGGTTTTGCGGTGTGGAGGGCTACGGTGAGAACGAGATCCCTAAGATGGGGATCGACTTGTCGATCTTTTAGAGGTGTTTCTCGACATCTTTCTTGATTGTGTGGTAAAGAGAGGGTTTTGGGAAGGCTTTTTGTGGATTTCCCATAGACGACGCTAATCCGATATTGCTCGATCCGAGGTAGTGTTTGAACCGAGGTCACAATCAGATAATCCTTGCCAATTGGGCGAAGCCGAGGTAGAAGGACAAGCTGCGCAATGAGATCTTAAACCAAGAAAAGATTAGAGGCCTGAGGAGTTATCCCCGGATAGATACTCCGAGCTCAAGTCAATAGAAAGTAGTCGGCGGTCGGACTGAGCAGTTAGAGAATGATGCTGGTTCGAGCAGAGTAACAGTATGAGAGTCAAAAGTTGGATCATTTACCTTGAGCGGGAGGTACCTTTTTATAACCGATGATCCATGTCTTGATTGGATGAGGCTTTCGGGGTTGTCGGGATGAGATTAACCGCTGAGGTCTTCAAGATAACACCTAATCCCCAGCGGAGTTGTCCCCATCTGCATGATGATCTCCTATCTTGGTCGAACTTTTCTACATGGCGTGATGCTGACGTGGCTGAAGAGAAAAGATAAGGCTGTTATGGTGACATGGTACTGACATGGCCAAAGAGATAAGGCGACACATGGCGTCCGAAACCTTCTCAACCATAACCCGAACAATTACATTGATGGTTCATGCTTCACTGCATCTTTTGTCTAGTAGAAATGGTCTTGTATTGCTAAACTGAAACGACAGCAAACAAAGTTGGCCGAGTGGGGGGAATTGCTAAACTGACACACAAACGTTGTTAATATTCTCCAATATCTAGTCTAGAGTACTGAAAATGTCTTTGATGCCGGATGCCTTTGCAATGAGAGAGGCAAGTCTTAGCTGTCCTTTCTCATCTCATTCAGACGATGAGTAAGTGGTTGATGTAGAGGGAACATCTCAATATTATGGGATTTTAATTCGGGTAGAGACAGCTGATCTAACCTTTTTTTTTTTCTTTTTACGATCTCTGTTTCTCTCTATATAAATTGATTTGAAAACAATATTTTAATGACAAATCTTTGAATTCACTCGATGCCACACTTTGTCTCATTAAATAGAGTAGGATCAAAGTTAAAGGGAACCCTTCCATTTGACTTTCAGATCTATCAAGGATGAATTCATACTTGATAGATCTGAATGTTATGGGATACAACCAGTCGGTGGTTGCAGGAATCAAATCGGCCTACCAGCTAACATATCAATTAAGCAATTCCTATTTTTATTGGTCTCAACGTTTAAAATGGTACAAACAAGTATCTGAATTGACGAGTGGTGGCTGAATTTCGCCTTCTGCTAAGGGGTATGCGTGTTGTTGTATGCATGAATTTGTAGTGACACATGATGACGCTTATTTCCCAGCCAAGTCCATCCAGCTACATTCGTTCCGAACATAATGTGGCCGGCAACATGGAAGATAGGATTGTCTCGAGGGGTAAAGCATATAAAATGAAGGAAGGCTGGACTGGTTCTTCTTCCTTGTTATGGAGTGCCGAGAAAGTGCCACGAATTTCGCATTTGGATGGTTTGAGGGGCAAACGTAGATATCGGACAATTGTTGCTGCAAGCCCCCCTACAGATGTTGCTGTAATTGTTACAGAACCGTTGACTAAAAAGGACCTTGTAGGATACCTTGCATCTGGTTGTAAGGCGAAGGAGAATTGGAGGTACATGCCAGTAGACTATAATGATCTCTCTTGGCAATCTATTTTACTTCAAGCATGTTGCTTTTGCCGAATCCAAATAGTTGCAGTAAGGATCCGATAAGAGTTGGCGATTAAATTTTATAAATATATCCTTAGCTGATTTATCACTCAGATAAAACAAAAGATAAACATTTTCGGCTTGTATTTATTGGGTATCTAAGGTCAATCAAATCCTGTTATTTTCAATTCGTTAGGGTTTGAATAGCTCTCAGATGCTTCTTCTAGTCGGCTAGTTTGTAATTTTGCATTGAATATTTTGAACGGTCATTATCAGTATCACCTTTCAAACCACATCTTGTTTGCCAAGAAAATAGAAAACAGAAACCACATTCTCTTTAGACCATTCTTTCTTTGGTTTTGGATCACTGTGTCACAACACTGATTACATCTCACATGATCTATACTAATGTGTGAGGTACTGCAGAAGGGGAGGGGCAGTGTTTTTGTGTTCAATTTCCAAAGCTTTCAATCTGTATCTCCTTCCATATGACTACAATAGAATCAAAAGGTTTTGTAGGTCACCATAGGCATAGGC